AAAGCCTATATGTTTTACCTACCTTACTAAGCGAGAATTTTTAGCTCAACGAATTTCAAACTATGGGTACATCGTCGTTCGTTGGTACTAATCTCAGTTCCATCAGTACATTCCAAGAAAACCAAACAACGGATCGTAAGTTGTTCCCAGCTTTGATTATGTGATTTTCCCTTTCCTCTTACTTTCTTGATTTTCATTTTGTGAATACTTTTTCAAAAAATGTCATTAAATTTCCCATTTTATATGAAATAACCTTTGTCAATATCACATGTGAGAATTCCTTGAATTTTTTGATTGATATTGGAAATTTTTGAAGTTTGTATGTAAATTAGAATCAAATATGTTTTTCAATCAAGGGATGTTACTTTCGGCTACTCATGCTGTCCTTCTTAGAGCATAGTCCCTTTTTTACCACGATGTAACTTAAGTGCAAAAGAAAGATTGACACTCTTAGTTTGAAACTCAATCTTACTCTAAGTCTACATGGTTTTCTTTTCAGTGGCTGAAGTGCAAAAACAAGAAGAGACGAAACGGCCAACTCTAACCCCTGTTGTGCCACAATATGTAAATTCGCCAGATGAACCTAAAAAACGTGTTAGCCGCACCCCTATCATTATCATACCCTCGGCTATGACATCGCTGTTGACTATATTCAATGCTACCGATATTATTCAGGTATGGTAATTATAGAGAGTAGGGATATGTGTTAAGCGACGTTTCATTTTCAAGGATATGAACTTTGTGACAACTGAGGAGAAGCGAAAAGAGAAGGGAATGACGCGAAAATCTCAAATTTACATTCAACGGAAAAAGAATGATACAACAGATGAGTTTACTACTGTGAATGAGTACCATTGTTTCAATCATTAACTAAATCTGACTCTTCTGCGTTCTACTACCGTACTTGATAGTGGATAACCCAAGCAAATTTTCTGATGCTGAATGGGATCGGGTTGTTGCCGTATTTATAACAGTGAGTAACATTTCCTCACAATTTTTGAAATATGCCATTCAAATGTTTCATTTAGGGTCAACTGTGGCAGTTTAAGCCTTTCAAAAGGTGGCACAGTAATCCTGTGGAAATTTTTGCAAAAATCCCCGCTTTTCATGTTCACTATGACGACTTGAATGTGAGTTTCGCATTCTGTGTGTTAGGTCACGATGGTTTCTAGTGATGTTCCAATCGCTAGTCAAATGGCATCCGTTTAGAGTTGTTTCGGTTAGAAAGTCCTCTGCGGGAATACTCCAAAGGAAAACGAAAATTTTGTTTTTGTTTTCGAATTACAAAAATCTTCATATTTCCAATTACTAGAGAGGCAACCCATGTCTGGCAAGATTAAGAGTTAAGTAGAATTGAAGGGCTTTTGAATGGGCATTTCTCAGAGAAGTAGTTT